TCTCTCTCTCTCTCTCTCTGCGCTTCTTGCCGCGACGCAGTAAGGAACGCACCGAGAGAGCTGAATCGAGTATATCCATCGCTGCACATTCTAAGACCTATGATAAGTTGAGGTTACTCTAAGCACAATACAGAGCGTGAAAAAATTGATCCTTGACTTTTGCGTGCGCAACACGTCTGAATCTGTATAAGAGACGTTTATATTCGTTGTCAGTCGCCAGCCGTATTACTCTGGGATCGCGCTCTGAATTCCGTTGATTAACGGCTAATTCGCATGGTAGTCGGCTCCCATCGCGTGACGAGCGTGTAACCCAGACAGATGTCATTATCCTAAGTGAGGAGAATATAACAAATCATCCAACAGGTAGGCACCCGCGGTTATAAATCCGTCCACATATCGACTTCCGTTAGCTATCGCACATAAATCGCGTGTCGTACACCCCCCCCTCTCCGTTCCTCTTTTGAATGCCTTATATGTATGGAAATCTCGAGGAGATAATTAAGTGGGAACGTCGAATTATTTTTCAATCTCAGTACTCCCACGTTCGCATGTTCTCGCTCTTCAATAATTCTCGAAGTATCTTAGACTTCCGCGTGAAGAAGTACTCGATCTGGCTTTCGGATTGGTGCTACGTCCTTCGCGGATTTATTTTCGACATTTCCTAAACAGATCCAAACGCGATACTAATCCAGAAATAAGATCAAGCTCTTTTAGCATCAAATTTATTCAAAATACATTCCGAATATTAATAAATTTAATATTTTAATCAAGAATATTAAATTAAAATAAAAATCTGGTTTGTTAATTTGGTTCGATTTAAAGTCAAACCAATTCTTTCTTCGATAGTTTTATAATATTCTTGTAAAAAGAATAAATTCTTCTTTTGGACATGTGACAATAAATTTTTCTAAAATTTGTAATGAATATAACTTAAGATTATGATTAAGAAGATATTCTTTGTTGAAAATAACTATTATATCTAAAAAAAGGAAAGCAAATCGGATAATCACTTTTCTTAGCAGTAAAATAATATTTTGCTGCGTGTAGTTGCCGTAAATTTCAAATTACATTCGATACAATATAAATCTATGAAATTTTTTTTAATTTAGCTACATTTTCACATCAAAAACCGATCTTCTAAGAGGACAAATTGTTCTCACCGACATATGACGTTCGATTTTCGCAAGTAACGTTCCCTCGTACTCTTTCGCACACGAGCAATCTGGTTCACAGTCCTCGAGTCGCTTATAAGATTGCGCGATTGCATTGTATTCCAGTGAAATTAGCACGTTATCAGCGCAATTAAATAGCGTAATTGGCAACGGTGTATATTGTATTAGCCGTTTTAATGAATCGCGCTGGCGGATCTCGTTAAACCGTATGATGTGCCATTCAGAGTCTCTCACTGACACCGGCGAGGCCGCGGCCAGGTCACGCGGCCTCTGGAGGAACGACAACGGGGGGCGTCGACGACAGTGATGCCGAGAGCGTGAAAAGTTACGGTAGTGCTTGCAGCACTGCAAGCGCTTGCGAGCACGCTTCCTTCGCGTTGAACGGCACCACCTGGTCTGGCCGATCGCGAAAATATGTCGTGCATTGTTCGAATCATAATGATAACGAGCAGTACCTCACACCCACACAGAGAGCAGCTAGACAAATAAGAAAGTTTCAGGTAATTACTTAATGAAATGCGAGAACGGTTCTACGCTTGTTTAATATTTATTAGATTAATTTAAATATACTAACAGTGATTAATGATCTAAAAATCTTTTCCCATGAGCACGCAACAAGTATTGATATCAATAAAAGTTATTAAATAGAGATATCAATATAAGTTTTTAAATAGAGATACGCTGACAAATGAAATGTGTATTCTATGAAGCAAAATTTTTTAATCAATCTAATATTCAATCCGCAAAATGAACTGCTCTGTTAGTATCTCACTTCAGAGACTGTCAAGAGCAGTGTGTACTCTGTATTTCTCGAATTAAAAACGATTCTTTATCCTAAGAAATAGGGGCTCATGTCAGTTTTGTTGCTTAAATATCAAACAAGTATTTGTTATTGGTTAAATATCCAGGAGTAGAAAATAACATGTTCATGCAAACGTGATTTTATAATGATCAAGATTGGATACGTTAAGAGAGAAAAGCATTAAATGAGTGCATTAGATGATACAAATGCTCGAAAAAATGATCCCCTGTTTTGAAAGATAAATAATGATCCAATTTAGAATCATGTACTTAATAGTTATAATTTTATTTTCTTCATCTCAACTGACTTGGGTCATTTTTTCAGGCCTTGTTGAAGGAGGCACGTAAGGAAATCGAGGAGAAGGACCGTGAGATCTTGCGTTTAACAAAGGAGGTCGTGGAGTTGCGGTTGTACAAGGCTTCTCTGAACAGCCCAGATGAGCGGACAGATAGCAGCGATGCTCTTACTGTGCGCGAGAATAATCCCTTCTCGCCAGATTCACCGAGCAAGGACCTTCCCGACGAAGGCGTCGGGGAGAAGGTCGCTAGTCCGGACACTCCGGAGAAGCGCGTAAACACCGATCTCCCGCCGTCGTTATCCGATTCCGGCCACTTCGAAGATGGTTCCGTCCATTCGAAAGAATCCATGTGCTTACCTGAGGCACAGCCACCTGACATCGCCACCGGTAGATCGATAGTTGTTAGCACAGTATCTGACAACACTACCATCGATTCAGTTTCTGTACCGACGGCAAGCACAAACCGAGATGAAGAGAGGCGTCGACTAGTTAATCATTACGAGAATAGAATCGAAGATATGCATAGACGGCACGTCGATGACTTGCAAGAACTCAAACAGAAGCACAACGATAAGGTACGGTCCCTTGCTCTTGGTGATTACACCGATGCATGTTAGGGTTTGCCGTCATGCTCGCGCGAGCGGACTAAACGATAATACAGTTCTAAGTGTCGGTAACGCGTTTCTTATAGGTGGAGAGCTTGCTGAATCAATTGTCTGAGGTCAACACCCGTTACTGCGAGGTGCGACCGGCCATGGATATCGCGGAGGCTCGAACACGCGAATTAGAAGCGGAACTAGAGGCTGTGAAAACTGAACTGAACGAGCAGAAGACTTTATTTAACGAGCAGGAAGAAAGAAATAAGCAAATGTACCTGAAAATGTATACCAAAGGTCAAGAAGCCGCGCGCATTGAACAGGCTGATCAGGTATTGCATGTACATTGAAGACATACGCGAAACGTATGGAAACGTATGTGAAACTTGAGGAAAATTGATAAAATCTAATATTTTTCGTGATATTGTAGATATTCGTGCAAGCCCACCAATCACCGCCTAAAGTCACTGTCGCAGAACTCCTTCAGCAATTAACCGTCACGCAAGCAGAATTAGAAAATATTAAGGTAAGATATTTAACTTATTATTTTGAAAGCTGCGCGTGGAATATATTTTGGCAGCGCTATATAAAAGGTCGTCTCACAGATCGTATATAGTTTTGGTTATCGTATTTGGTTTTCGTATTCTTTACAAAATGTTTTTCGGCCGGTATTAATATGTTTCAACTATAGAATTGAGAATACGATTCCCGACATGCTTTGAAACACACATTGGTTTATATTAATATTGATTAAAAAAGATATATTTAGTCGCTATAATAATACAGTCTTTTCCAGCGAATTCACGATTTTCGTTATCATCGACGAGCTTTCATAATGTTAGACTGCATTGCAATATTTGCACATTATGATTCTCTTATTATCATTCGACATTCGCATCCTTATTTTCCTTGCTTGATTGTTTTTTTTTGTATGTACGTTCTATCCAAAGATTAACAATTAAAGCCCGCGTGAATTAATTTCGCTGATTTTCTTACGATCGAGAAGAGCAGCTGAGTATCCGATTAATTCCGCTGATATGTTCCGATAACACGTCTAATCAAAGAAATCCCAAGCGCGTTCACAAACGCAATCCGTATCACTGGTCTGAAACAGCTTCTGCATTTGTTTTCTCAGAATTTTCTTCATCATTTATTCATATCTCACATTGTTCACATTTACGAGGCGTGTATACATCACTGTTTCGAGCATCTCCGTAGTTCACGATACTCTTGTACTAACGATGTGCCACTTTTTGTTGATCGCCGCTCACACTCCAGGACACAAGCTACTCGCCTGAACCTCACATTTCAGCCGAACATAGCCACAGTTTGTTAAGCGCTCAGGAGGCTGTTTCTCTCTGGGTCCTTGGCACACGTAAGGTCTGTATTTTAACTCGTGATTGCTACGTGACGCAATTCCCATGCACTCTTTACCGCCCATATATACATATATAATAAACGTTGCATTCGCCCGCATATATACGATGCACCGTTCTTCTGTCGATTGTTTTCTTTTCTGCATCAAGAATTTATATTCCGATACGAAGACGCAATGCTCTCAATCTTGTAATTGAGTCAGTATAGGAAGACGTGGATTCTTTCATTTCAATTTTGTTTCGTAAGTGTATAAAGTGTTCTAAAATTTTCGGTCCTCGTTTCAGTGACTGAAATGAGGAACGATAACTTCGAGGATATCTTCTAAATAAGTCCTTTCGACTTGAACACGGGCAAGGGTGTACGGAGGAGAGCATAATTGCGCTCGCATTTTCTTTTCACACTCGCGTTAGTGCTTCGTTGCAACAACTGCATGTGGTTTATCAAGCACCGACGTAGATGGTTCATACTTTTATACATTACTCTTAGATCGGGCGATTAATCAGTGCACTAGGAAGAAACAGCCTCTTTCATCTTCGGTCAATGTAAGTTTTGCACGTGCTTACAACCCATGCACGCTTCCACCATTGCGTACAGGTGTGTACTATACCTTTGAATCCAAATGGTCAAAGATTATCTCGCGCGAATTCTCTCTATAATATTGATATATCGTAAAGTTGTTTATAATATCATACATTTTTGCGCGACGTTAATCTGAATGTTTGATATTACAACAAGTACATATAATTACATACTCAATTTTCAATTAGACGGACATGAATCGTCGGAAATTACTGTTCAATTCTGAGAGAATGGAATATACATGTGGATTCAAACTTAATAAAACGTAATCATATGTACAAGCAGTTGTATATTTTCGAAATGTCTTTGTGTCGCGACATTTTAATCCTAGTTCTTCAACAAATACGTTCTTTTGTTTCTGCCAGGCAATGTATCGGCGTATCGTGGAGGCGAGAAGCAGTCAGGGTATTCTCGATCCAGAAATTACTCTGCAGTTCCTAAAGTCGGCGATCTACTATTTCCTAACCGATAAGGAGAATCATCACGGCCACTTAAATGCTATTGAAAGTATCCTGGGCTTCACGGAGGCGGAAAAGCACAACATCGATAGACTTTATCGATCGACTAGAAAGTAACGTTTTCGAAAAGCCTTCAATATTATATCATTGCTGACGAGTGGTGTTAGGTTTATTTGATTTAATACCTGAATTCCAAAATACTTATTTTAATTATTTACTCTTTAAAGGAAAAGAGAAATAGTTTTGTGTTTAAAAAACATGTATAAACTTTATGAGCATCTTTTTATAAACAAAATAACAGAATTTATGATAAACGATGATAGAGAATTTGTATATTTATCTGACTGCGAGGAATACATTATTTTTTAACAGTAGTAATTTCTGTTTTGATTTTCAGTGCTCATGAAGTTTATATAAAATGTTTTATATAAAGTTTATTTTCCATTAATTTTTATTTATTCACATTGCATTTAAAGGAAGAAAAAATATAGAATACTTAAAATATGAAGCAATTTATTATAAATTAAACATTCAGAATGTATTTCGTTACATTTTATATCTCGGACACCATACGTCACCATACTTATATTAGGCGGCTACTGGTTAGCTGGCAATTTTATGAAAATTAGATTTAATAGTTCTGGGATTTAACACTATAAATGATAAACATACAGCTTGAAAAGATTGCAGGAGATTTAATCATGGCTGTGTGTAATTTTAATGCTCTACAATGGCCATGTATTACAAATATAACTGTACGCATCTTACGCGATTTAAATGCTCTGAATTAGTTCGTATAAATATTCTAGTTAAAAACGTGAAAAAATATATTGTCTAGTTATTGCAAATCACTCTTTTAACGATTATTATGCATTCAACTTATATATCACAACAACTATGTGAAACGTTTGAGAATTGAGCAAAAAATATGTGATACAGACGAAGTATTATTGAAGAAAAGGATTTAAATCGATCTTGAAAGAATTTAGCATTATATTATTTGAAATGCATGCCCATCCTTGTACGAATAACAGTTGAGTATATATGTATATCTTTCTTGTTATCACGTGAATCCCCGAACATAGATCAAATTTATTTATATATTTCCTTATAAATAATATATATACATGCATGTATATGTTTGTATGTATGTATGTATATATACTTATATGTATATACGCTTTGTTCAAATATATATGTGTATATATATGCATATATATATATATATATATATATATATATATATATATATAATGTTAAATAGATTTATATATATTTACTTGTAGTTCAAGTATACATATACTTGTTGAAGAGAATATATGCATTATATACTTGTGTGTATATATATATACACACATACATACATACATACATACATATATACATACATACACAAGTGCATATATATGTAGAATAGTTCAGAGTTTTTATATACTCTCCCAACTTTTAAGTAATATACAAACAAGCGATTGAGATAAATTTGAACATGATCGTCAGATATCGATACTGTTGAAAAAAAATTATTTGATTGTATCTCTGCAAAAGAGAACACATGATAACTCTGAACCTTTCCCATATATACTATCTATATCAAAGTCTGGTGACATGATGTCCAGATAAGATAACAATATGGAGACTGAAGGATATATCTTGCCTTTTTACCCGCTTGTAACTTCAAATTAAGTAGATCTCGTGAAGGGATATTCAAGTGCAACTATTAGTGAATCAATCTAAGCACACTTCCTATATGTCTCATCATTACATACAATTATAATTGTTTACTTCTTATGAGAAATACTTTTATCTATTTAAATTAATACCAAAGAATAGACGCTCTGTCAATTATTGCATGAATATTTGGTTATGATTAGGATTAATGCTTGGCACCAACTATTGGCTTGAATTTATTTTCATTATATATTGAGGTTTTTAATATTATACATTAACAATAACATTTTACGATAAATTCGGATACAGATAAGTTTTATCCTTTTAAATTATTACATATTAGAGCACTTCATGTAATTAACATGAGGATGGGAAATTTTTAGTATTAGAACGTTTTGAAGAATAATTTAATATGATTATAAGCTAAAGAAATTGTATAAGGTGCCAATAATAGAAATGTGAACATTCATACTACATACAGATCGCTTCTCGAAGCAATGCTCTCCTACTAAATGTTTTATAAATAAAAGAATAGAATGATTGATAGTATCTACTATATCAAAAATACGTCCAATATCAAGAAGTATATAATTTCATACAATACCTAAGCAATCATATTTCTAACCAAGAACCTTCATATTTATTTTTTAATGAAGTTCCTTTTGCGAATGTTATGATGCTAGGCCTATATGTAAGCTATATTGTAATTAATAAAACTCGAATAAGTCATTCCATTGGAAACAAGATAATTATTACAGTGCAAGGACAAGAATGTTAAAAGTAAGCGTTTGTCACTATTCAAACGGATACCTGTGTGATTTTATTGAAACAGTATTCTTGTGAATTTAATAATTGTGTACAGCGCAATGAATTTCCTATAATTTTATTTGTTCCTTCTTTTTTTTGTATATATCATAGTGAGGAACATTATATCTTAATTCATCCTCACTGTATAGATGTTCTGGTTACTGTAAACAATATAAGAGGATTGGAATAAAAATTCAGCATATTTAAGTGTTTTAATAGCTTATTCACAATCTCCTAAAGTTTTATATAAATCAAGAGTAAAGAAGATATATATATATAAATAAATAAATAAATAAATAAATAAAAGTACTTTCTACTCTCGAATGGAAAAAATTATATCAACATAGTGGAGTGTATTGTTCTTGACAATCTACAAGATAGAGTAATAGATAAAAGCACAGTATAAGTAACTTTTTCACCCTATTTTAAATTTTCTTCATATCGAGTTTCAGTAATTATACAATTTACATCTCCTTACCTCCGATTTTTACGAAAAAATACTCAATCGACGCGTTTTTTAAAGGCAAACAACTTTTCTATAAGGGTGGAATTACATATAGGATGTGTTCCGTTTCCACGCATGATGCGCATGAAATGCAGCGTTAGAGTGACAGAAATATGAGTGAGATAAAAAGAGAGGGAGAGCACTCGGGTGAGGTTATCGAACCTAGGTTAGGTTAGTTCTCGAACGCATGAGATCGCATGGATTGCACTACCTCGGAGCTGAGGTAGTTCATGCGTCGAGAACTAACCTAACCTAGATTCGAGAACCTCACCCGAGTGCTCTCCCTTTCATTTTATCTTACCTTCTGTATAAAAAGTACCGGGAAATTGTCATTTAAATGAACCGCGGAAGAGGTAGCGGTAAAAAGTTTTTTTTTTTAGATTGGCACTACCTTCCTTCATTACCAACCGGAGCTTGAGCTCGATCAGTCAACTAGTTTGTTTATGGCAGCTGTCCAAACAAGTCTACCTCAGTGTTGCTCTGCGAATTTTACCATGGAAAAAATAGTCGAACAAAGAGTGTGCCTCAAATTTTGTGTTGCAAACGAAATTTCGTGTGCCGACGCACTGAAAATGTTGAAAAAAGCCTATGGTGGCTCAACCATGTCGAAAACTCGGGCGTACGAGTGGTTTAGTGCGTTCAAAGAGGGGCGTGAAGTGCTCGAAGATTTGCCTCGCTCCGGCCGGCCATCCACGTCTACCACCGACGATAACATTGGAAAAATAAAACATTTAGTGCTGCAAAATCGTCGTTTCAGTGTGAGAGAGCTGGCCCGTGAAGTGAACATTGATAAAATGACCGTTCATGGCATTATAACCAATATTTTGGGCATGAAACGTGTCGCCGCTCGACTGGTCCCGAAAGACCTGAATTTGTTTCAAAAACATTATCGTAAACAGGTGGCCGAAGATATGATTTCGCGTGGCCCAGACTTCTTGAATCGCATCATAACTGGTGACGAGACATGGGTCTATGAGTTCGACACCTTAACAAGCCATCAATCGACCGAATGGCGCATGGAAAACGAGCCAAATCCCAAAAAGGCGCGCCGAAGCCGCTCGAAATTGAAGGTTTTGCTGACTGTGTTCTTCGATTGCCGCGGTGTCGTTCACTCAGAATTTCTCCCCGAGGGCCAAACAGTCAATAAAG